CCAGATGACCTGGCCTTCACAATGACTGGACCTGAATCCAATCAAGATGGTTTGGAGTGAGCAAGACCACAGAGTGGAGGTAAAAGGGCCAACAAGTGCTAAGCATCTCTGGGAAGTCCTTCAAGACTGGTGGAAGACCATTACAGATTACTACCTCTTGAAGCTCATCAAGACAATGCCAAGTGTGTGCAAAACAGTAATAAAAGCAAAAGGTGGCTACTTTGAAGAACCAAGAATATAAGAAATATTTTCAGTTGTTTTACACTTTTTTGTTAAGTACATAATTCCAGATATGTTAAATCATAGTTTTGATACCTTCAGTGTGAATCTTCAATTTTCATTGTCATGAAAATAATGAAAACTCTTTAAATGAGAAGGTGTGTCCAAACCATTGGTCTGTACTATAAAAGATATATATATATATATATATATATATATATATATATATATATATATATATATATATATATATATATATATACATATCTTCTCTCACTTAAAGTCAATATCTCAAATTGAATTATAACTGCAGAGAATAAATTCCAGACAATAACTGTTATATAAGCCAGTTTAACACTGCACTATTTAAGCATTGATCTGTTGCTGCTTAGTTATGGCGCACGAGCGGCTAATGTTGTACCTGTTAATGGCGTGTTAACTTGATCCCAAAGATCTCCTTGTACAAAGTTGTTCCAGCCAGATGAACAATTTGTGAACAAATAAATTTTTTATTCAACGATGCACGGCCTCAGGGTTAACAATGACTCCACCACAGTGGTCAAAAACTTGTATGCCCATCCGGATTCAACACCTGTCAACTATCTGTCTCCTCTTGGTTTATATACTGGAGCTGACAGCCCCATCTAGTGACCAAAAAAATGAGAGAAAAGAAACAAACAAAAATACACATCTCAGGCTCCAATAACTGTCTTTAGTTAACATTGTGAACAGAGTAGATGAGAGAGCTGTCAAATATTTGTGAATCCTTTTTTTCTATTCCTCTTAATATATGTCTATAGTTCTTGGTGATCTGCTTATGAAGGAAAAACAGTTTGCATATACCTCCACCTGCAGGTTTTAAAAGGGGGCAAGGAAAACATTGATGTTTACTTCAAAGTGTAGAAAATAAATGGGGGTTTTAATGTTGTATAGCTCTAGTACTTGTTTCTTTCACCGTGGACTTTCAAGTACAGTAACACACAGCAGGGTCTTCAGGCTTTATAGTGTATTTAAAAAGTGTGCTTGGAAACTGAACTTCTATGTTCCATCCTAGTTAAAACAACCCTAACCCTTGATTACCATTGCGCCAAGCTTAAATGACTTCTTCCACAAAATACACTGTGCCTCATTATATTTTCTTTTCATTCACTGAACGGCTTGCTTTAACCATTGTTGGCTCTGTCCTGATGGCTAAACCAATAAAAAAGATGTTGCGACCGGACCTTGGAATGATGTGCCACAAAATTTTCATCTGGACAAAATGGGGAAGTGTAAATTCAAGGAAAATTGTAGCCTAGTAAACTAGTAAATAAAATCATGCTTGCCTGCAAGTGATCTAGGCTCGATCAATGCCCCAGGTGTCATAATCTGCTATGATAGCTGGCCTTAATTATTCATGCCTCTCATCTGCTTAACTCTCTGCTGCTCATCTTATTCACCTGCCAGTTTACCTTATTTTCAGCTCAGTTCCAGCTATCATGGTCAGATCATTGTTTGCTTTCGGTTTGTTCCCCATTTGATTCCTGTTAGTGTCTTGTCTGTCAGTTTTAGGTTTATTTCCAAAGTTCATGTTCAATTGAGGAGTTTATTTTTGAACCCATGTCTTCAGGCTAGTTTTATCCCTAACCAGTTATGAGAGCGTTTCAGCACTTCCCTAGTGATGCTGTTTTCCTGATTCTGTTCCCTCTCACCCACTGGCCCTATCTGGTCTGCTCGCCTGAACCTCTGTTAGACTCCTGCTGGATTTTTCCTCCAAGGTGCTTTTCTGTTTGCGCTGGCTGCTCCACGCATGGGACTCCGAAACTGTCCTCCAAGGTGCGGATCTGTCTGAGCTTTATGCTCGACGCACGGGACTCAAACCTGCCTTAATGCTCTGATGGATTCCTGGAACCTTGATCTGTCCATTCCTGAGTGGATTGTAACCCCTGACCAGACTGTGGACTCCTGGATTCCAGTACTACTCTGGTCTGATCTAAATCCCTGTCCTGGACCGGAGTCCAGCCTGCTCACTGGGGTTACTGCATCAGGGATGCTCTGAATGGCTCACGGCCGCCTCTCATTGGCAGTGCATTGGCTTATCCTGCCAGTGATTGAGAGGATGGACTGAACTGTTAAACCAGGTAAGTGACTCACTCTAACAATCATCTTCTGTTCAGAAGATCATGGTCACTTACCTGTGTTTCTCCCTAAACCAGAGTGTCAGTGAATGGGCGGTGCCCCGCTCCCAAACTATTGAACAGCTCTTGTTTGATTCAGCTTTGGAATCAGTTTGGGAAGGATTAGACTTGGGGTTTTCGTTGAAACGTGAGCAGGAAGAGGCTCTTCGCTCATTCATTTTTAAGAAGGAAGTATTCACCATTTTACTGACAGGCTGTTTGCTTACAATCCTCCACAGGCTTTCTGTCGTGCTTACTATGTCACAGTCATTTGCGCTCATTGGTCAGAGCGTTGGCCAATAGGCACAGACATGGTTTTAAAAAACAAAGTGTTCAACAATCTTCCGATGTCTCATTCATCGGGGCCAGACTAAATTACAAATTTAATCTCACATTTAGTCAGGTTTATCAGGCTATGAAAATTAGCTATCAAGCCAAGAGTCTTCGGCATGGCTAGAACCAGTATCAGGGAATGTACATCATTTTAAGACCTATGAAAGACTGATTTAAGATATTTTAACACCAATTAAGGCCTTTTATATTGAAGAATTCAATGCCTTTTAAGACTTTCTAAGAATCTGTGGGAACCCTGGATCAAGCATGCCCAGCACAAGTTAGAAATAATACATCTCAGATCACCTACTTTTTTTTTAGAGTTGTTCTTTCAAAGTTAATCTAGATCTATCCATCCATTCTCCATCACGCTAATCGGTTTGCTAGGTGTGCTAGTGCCTCTCTCCAGCTGTCTATAGGCAAGAAGCAGGGTACACCCTGGACAGGTCACAAGGCAACACAGAGACAAACAGGACAAACAACCATTCACACACACACACTCACACCTAAGAAGAATTTAGAGAAGCCAGTTATCCTAACAGTCATGTTTCTGGACTGTGGGAGGAAGCCCGAGTACCTGGAAAGAACCCACGCATGCTCAGGGAGAACATGCAAACTCCATGGTATCCTCAAACCACAGGTCTCCATTGTCCAAAATGTACACAATGCTGTCCCAAACAAATGCTTCATGTAATTGAGGGGTTGGTGAACAGCATGGTTTTTCACCAGAAACGTTTTCCCTTTTGTGTCGGGCCGGATGTGATGCAAAATGTAAAACATCAGAGTTTCTTGTGTGACAGTTATCCTGAACTGAGAAGAACCAAAAACACCAGCATGGTAATTAAAAATAATGTGCAATAACAACCAAAAGGGTCACCAAAGACATCAATGCAAAAAGTACATTCCAGGTATAAATATGTATAAATCCATGAACTATTCTACTGGTCAAAAGTGATTTTTTTTTTATCAGATTCTAAAACAGAGATGGGGATGGTTTATTTTGCAACACTTCAGTGATCCCAGTCACTTAGGGGAATCTAAACTTTGAAGTTGGACATCTAGCGTCCCTAATGGCTGAAATGTACAGTGTTGCTTTAAAGAGGTATCTAGAATTTTATTCTTCCATCTCCTGAATATTTCAAACTTAGAAACATCTTATTCACGAGTGAAAAAGAAAACCGTATCCATGCATTTAAGGCTTCAAGGCTTTGCTATAAGGAAGTTTATTTAACAGTTTGCACTGAGGATTAACAGAAGTTTATTTTTTTTTCTCAGTTGTGCTTGTTTCATCCTGTAAAAAAACTTTTTTTTTTGTATGGTTAGAGCTCCACATTATATATTATGGACAATTTGCTCAACATTATAACATATATTTCTCTTGCCATGTTTTTCAAATTATATTATATGTCCCCGGATGTAAAAAAAAATAAAAATAAATAAATAAATAAATAAAAAAAACACAGTAGTAACAAAGAGATTTGGTGGATTATTTAACCCATTATCAAATGAAAAAAAAAAAAGAACATTGACAGGACAACATAATTCTGTTTATTATTAAAGTAAAGACATTTGAAAAAGTTCTGCAGATTATGAGAAAAAAGAAAAAGCAGAGCTGTGGTTAACCAGTGTTTTCTCTGCATGTGAAACTGAGCTGCTGTTATGTTCCAGCCAGATTTTCATCTATATTTCAACTTCCTGTGGATATGTGGTTTCAACCGATCAAATTGTGTGCTAAGAACTGCAAGATGAGACGTGGGCATATCTGTTGTTTCCCCGCATCATTTAAGTTTTTTTATTTTTTTTTAAACGTATTTATATGACTGGAAATAACCTCTTTGTGGCTCAATGCAGGGGCAGTTTAACCTATTATCATACAGAACACAAAGAGTAAAAAAGTTTAGAATGATGAGGCGAATGATTTTGCACAATAGTAAAAAAAAAAGATGACAATTGAAATACAGAAAAGATTTCATAACATGTAAATATTATAAAACACTTGTATATGGGCTATAGGATGCATTAAAATCTGACTGAAGATCTTCAAGATGACAACAAACTATGAAAGAAAAAAAAAGCTCCAAGGAATGGTTTTCCGGCATGAAGGGAAATACATTTAATAAACACAGACAATATTAACCTATTACTACAACTTACAATAATAACAAGGTAAAAACAAAAAAGAACGCATGTTAAAGACTAAGGATATTTTTAAAAATCCATATAAATTACAATCAATTTATGAATGACAAATGTTAGCTTTTTTTTTTTTAACAATATTTTTCTATGTATTAGAAAAGATGTCTGTGTTTAGGTAAACTTACATCTTTTTTTAAAATAGCAAAATTTCTTTCTATTATTCTTTGTGAAATAATTTTATAGGTTAAAAAAAAGAGTTCTGAAGATTTACTTTTTCTTATAAGGGTATTTCAAATGATTCATTTTCTGTATAGATGTTTCTTTAGAAAAATAGTTATTTTTTAATAAAATTCCTTAGATTAATTAATTAGATCTATAAATGAACTGCTTTGCTCAGATAATTGGATGTGCTCTCCTGACTGCTTTAACGTTTCAGTTACAGAAGAGCAGGCCCCTGATGGTGAGGACAGTGCTGAAGGCCAGAGCTTTGGTGAACACCAGTCGGACTCCGTTCATCAGCAGCAGGTAGAAGTTCAGCTTGGCTTTTTCTGGAGGGTAAAGGCATAGAGTTCAGACTGAACAAAGACTGAACACAGCACTGACAACTAAACTAAGACAGAAAATGTTCAGACTTACTTGGAGAAATGTTTCCACATGCATCGTCTGATAAGAGACAGAAAGAATATACTTTAAGTCACACACATCATTAAAACTCTGATCTACAGATCTGTCTAAAGAAACATGTTTGACATGCACAGACTAAGTCAGCAAACACTCTGATAAGGACAGATATAATAAATGATTATCTGAAGTTTAGCTAAAGTTTTTAGGTATAATGCTCTATTAGGAAGAAGTCAATTACGATATATTATAATAGCCTTGAAATTATCAAAATAAACATTTAGATGACAGCTTTTCTCAAAGCGAAAAAGTTGTGACTTTGTTACCTGCTTCATTGTTGCTGAAGGTCCCATTCATCTCACAGGAGTGGATGGTTTGATTGCTAAAAGCAACAAAGTAGTAGGTGTTGTTCTTTGACAGAATCGGATCTTCGGCGCTCACGTTGACTGGACCACCTTTCAAATTTAGAACCACATCTGCCCCCTTCGGATGGAAATCTGTGACCAGACAGACATCTGGACCCAGATCATCTGCTGACTTTGGCGGGTAGCCAGGAGTCTGCAGGGGACTCAGGATGAATAAAGTTGGAGGCACATCTGGACCATCTGTACAAAAACAAATTCAACCAGAAAGCAGTTTTAGACTTATTGATGTTCAGGGTTGAAGCCAAAGAGGGAGTATTTTTATCTGAGCATCAGCAAAGAAATTTAGATCATACCAGGTTATTAAGAGTAATTATTATATTGCATTGGCAAAACAGAGTTTTATTTTAATGCATAAACCAAGTTACAGTCTTAAAAAAAGAGCAAAAAGGGAATGCTTTGTTTATTTTATACAATTGCCATGTATAAAATCAATCAAGCTTCATAAATTTATTTTTATTCTTTTTTCACCTGAAATTGAAATTACTGTAGAAGCACGGGACAAGTTTAATTTGCCAGCGTATTATAATTTCTACAAATATTTCTAAAAGAAATAGATACTGAATAGATTTCAGTGTGCTTAAGGATATCGCAATTTACTCTATAATTTATTTTTCCTTTGGGGTAACTCAAACTTTAACCTCTTCATTCTAAAAATGTTTCCCGCAAAGTTCACCTGTTGTTGACTTGTGGTAAATTAAATGCTTGACTCGTGACATAAATTAATTTCTATTATTTGAAATAGACGTTAAATTAATAGAAAGAAATTCAAATAATTAAAGAAATACTATCATTAAATTAAAAATCTAGTTATAATCATTGGCGTATGTGTTTATTTATTTGTAAAAAACAAACAAAAAAAAGTAATAAAGTGACTGAAAATACTTAAGCCCTGAAAATAAATGCAGCTCTTAGCTTTTGGGACTTCTATGTATCTCTAATGGATTCAGGTCATGAATAAAAATAATAATAAATGACAAATACATTCTAACTATTCCAAACAAATGATAGAAATCCCTTCAAACAGTACAACAGTACAATAGTACAGTAGTTGCCTGATAAGCTTATATTTTTCCTCTCATTTGTCACTATGAAGATGCTCCCAACTCGTCTTTCTTTATTTCATATATATATATATATATATATATATATATATATATATATATATATATATATATATA